CCTGTTTCATGCACGAGTTAAAGCAAAAAGTGTTTGGAAGTCCTGCGATTTCTCATATTTTCAATTTGAAATGAGCAATGATATAAAAATGAAAAAGTGTTTGGAAGTCAAACATTAAAGCAAGAAGATCACAGTCAAAGGTCAAGTGTTAAACCCGTTTCATGCATGAGTATTAATTTTGCTGCGATGATAGCATCAAATAGAATTTGCTGCATTGGTTAAACACTCTAAAGATATCTATTTGGACTTCTCAGGTTGTAGGTTCGAGTCTTAGTGGTGATAATTATATCTCATTATTACTCATTATTATTTTTAGGTTAGTGGAACATAAATTGGATAACTAAAACGATAAAGGTGACATGAAAATTTGTGGAGCTTGTTGAATCCTATGTAGGGATGGCAATGAGGCGGGTTTGCCTAAACCATCCCCATCTCCATCTTCGAATACCCAAACCCATACCCGCCCCATACCCATGCGGGGGAATGTTTTGCAAACCCATCCCCATACCCGTGGGTTTCGGGTACCCATGGGTAATACCCATCCCCGTACATCCAACATAATTATACCTAAAACTTACAAGAAAAGTTTTAATTATAACCATAAACAAACCTATTATATCATAAAGTCAACAAAACACGGTCATTTTCTAAATACGATTCAAAGAATATGATCCTAAAACATCCATTAATACATAATATAGACTACATTATTTTTTAAATTATTATGCTCTAACTCTTGATATATTTACTAAGTAATAATTAACTAACATAATCTTGTTGAGAAGGGGGAAAGTGAAAGAGTGGAAGGAGAATTGAGGGAAATGAATTAGGTTTTGATTAAGGTGATTACTCAATTGCATTTCTACTATTTATTTTCTCGAGTTATCATCATCATCATTGATAGATTACAAATTAATCCACATATTTTTTGATATGTGAAGAAATTCTCTTGGTGGAGCGGGTATGGGTATGGGGCGGGGGAGGCTAAAACCATACCCGCCCCATACCCATCAAACTTTTTGCGGGTTTTACCCATACCCGCCCCATACCCGGTCAAAGCGGGGATTCCCCGCGTTGACTGGGTCGGGGGCGGTCGGGTACCCGCGGCCATGGGTTTGATTGCCATCCCTAATCCTATGTGGTAAAAGATTGTTCTAAAACAGTGGCAAAGGCTAGCGTACGCCTGGCGTATGCTATATGCCTGCGTTCACATTTATAAATTAATTCTTAATGGTAATTATGAGTAAACTAATAATTGATAATAATTATAATTACAATTACATCCACTAACTAATTATTGAGTAAGTTAAAGTCTCATCAATTTTTACCATTCGTTAGCAATCATATACCGCTCCTTTGTTGATTCTTCTGTCATTCACTTTTGCTTCAATCCCACTCCGGCTCATGGTTGTAGCAACCTAGTGATAAGTTTCGCTTTAATTCCTCCGATACTAGTTTCCAACCACGCCGCTCCGGCTGTAGCAAGCCGACGACTAATTTCAATAGTTGCTACAGTGATATTCCGTACTCCAAAATCCAAATGGCCTCTCCTGTTTTGGTACAAGCGGAGGTCTCTGGCCTGATCCAGTTTCCGGTCACCGATGAATATAGATAGATAGATAGATATCTATCGTTCATTGCCAATAAGCCAATATCTATTTATCTAGATAGATAGATAGATAGATAGATATAGATAAATAGATATCAATGTGTGTGAGAATTAGTGGAGATAACTCAAGAATTGGTCTAGTGGTAATATGGGGATGTTAACATCCATCACTTTGGGCTAGTTTGGCCCTGTTGTAACTTTTGGAGAAGCAACTTCTGGGTTGAGCTCTTAGAGAAGCGCATTTTAAAAAAAATAGTTGAGTGTTTGGTTGAAAAACTATTATAAGTGCTTTTTAATATAAGAGGTCATGTAAATGATTCCTAATACAAAATATGAATAAAAATTCTAAAACACAAAAAGTAATCATAATGAAACTGGTTAGATTTCTTTTATATTAAATAATATTATTAAATAATATACTTTTTTTTAAATGATTAAAATGATAGAAAATTTGTATTTTCAAAAATAAAATTATAACAATGGTAAGGGTAATATTGTATTTTCAAAATAACTTTTCGCAGAAGTGCCAAATTGGAGCTTTTGCGTTTATGTTATACAAAAACACTTTTCAACTTTTCAAAAACCGAGATTTTAGAGGTGTTTAGCTCAACTTCAATTTTTGGAGCGGAAAAATCACTTATGAAAACCGGGCCAAACATAGGCATTATAAGTTTGAATCTTGGTGCCCCGAATTCAACCCTCGATTCCTTTTCTGGCATGTGCTTAGATCTCTCTCCCTCTCATTCTAGTATTCGTTGGTCTCTCCTTCAAGCCTTAACGGGCATATCAATAAACTTAATAATAACGGAGGCGGAGAGAGGAGGAGTGGAGGTTATTTAAGTAATAATTAGTTTTTAAATTTGTGTGGTTATAATAAAAATAGAGTGATATTTAACTATGCAGTAAAAGTAAAACTAGGGAGTCAAATTCAATTATAGATAAACAAGGATTATATACCTTATTACCAACTTGCTATCATTTATCAATTGCCAAAAAAGATTTACTGCTGGGATGCTAACAATTGTAGAATATAAAACTTTATGTTTGCTAGTGACATTCATTACCATTGTGAATCACTAGCATTCCTGATATTGGTTTCGAGAAGATAATCACAACCGCTGCTTTAATCTAAGGTGCTCTCAAAATAGGCATACAATAGGCAAGTAACGAGCATCCTTGAAAGCAAACTCAAAGTACTGAATTCCTATTCGTCGCCCTAAGTTTTTGAATTTATCGCTCTAAACTTACATACATGGACGAGTTTACCCCTCATTTAACCTAAACCCTAAATTGACCCACCCTGCCGTCCCTTACCCTGTTCTCCCAAAATACTCAAAAACAAAACTTTCAACCCATCACCCAGACCCGCCGCCACCCTAATCTGCCGCCATCCAGACCCGTCGCCGCCAGCATCACCCTCACCCAGAGCTTCGGCGTCAGCCAGACCCGCCGCCATCCAGAAGGAGAGGTAGTCGCCGCCAGACCCAGCGCCACCCTAATCTGCCGCCGTCAACCAGACCCTCGCCCAGACTCGCCTCCACCACCAAGACCCGTCGCCGCCAGCATCTTCGCCCAAGCCCAGATCCGCCGCACTGTCGCCGAGGAGGAAGGAGAAGCCTCCAAATCATCGTCCGCCTCTAGCCCTCTGCTTCTGCTCAGACCCGCCAGAGGTAAATCTCTCTCTCCCTCTCTTCTCTTTTGGTTGAGTTGCGCTGACGTCACGGGTTGAAAACCCGTCGCCAGTGGCTAGAGGCAGGTAGGGTGTTCGATTTGGGCCGGGGTAGAAGCAGGCAGGGCACCCGCGCGGATCCGTTGGAGCCAGGTATCCCACCTGCCCCGACCCTGGTCCGATCCGGTCTCTGACCCTGGTCTGACCTGATCTCTGACCCGCCCTGACCCGTTTTGATTTTTTTGTTCAATTAAAATGCAAATGTTAATGATTAGAATGTTCATTTTAATTAATAATATATAAATTTGAATGGTTAATTATAATCAGTATATGACCTTTCATAATGGGAAGGAAGAAAAGAATCTGGGATTTTGTTGCGGTTGCTGTGTGATGATAGGATGTTAATTAGCATTTGACAATATAAGTAGTGTTTGAATTGACAAAGTTGTGTATTGTTAATAATGATTATAAATAGTTAATGAATATAGGATTGTTAATTGCAATACTAAGAAGAATTAGTTTTAGTTTCTTGATAGTTGGTAAAAATAAGCGAAAGAAAGGGTAAGAATTAGTATATGAATTGTGATGATTAATATAATTAGTATTTAACAATATAATTAGTATTGGAATTAATAAATTTTATGATTGTTAATAATTATTATGTATAGTTAAAAAATGTATGGTTGTCAATTACAATTCTGAAAAGAAATAATTTTATTTTCTTGATAGCAGGCAAAAATGAGCGAAAGAAGGGGCAAGGAAAGGTCGAGGGTTCTCGGATGCAAAGTTACAGTATCTGAGCGGAAAAAACGTCAGGACGATTCAGATAGACTTCGTGAGGAGGAGCGTCAGGAGAAGCTTTCGCGTCGTCAAGCTGTAGTGGATCCTCCCCCCTCATAGCCATGTTTCCCACCGATACCAGGCATCAACACATATGATGACATGGTGGAGGATGACGATAGCAGTGATGATGAGTGTGATGTAGAGGGTGATGATGAGTTGTCTTTTCATGAGTTGCTTTTCGACGGTCATCCTGGAGGTGGCTCCAGTTGTCTGGGGGTGGGTTCGAGTGATCATGTGTCTACTGGCTCGACCCATGGCAGTACTCTTGTTGGGCCGCTAGACGGCAAGGATGGGCATTTTGCTTCGTCCTGTGATGGGAGCAGGCCTTCACGGAAGAAGAAACCGAGGGACGAGACGTGGCTGCTTACAAAAGAAGCTCCAGGAGGCCATAGAGATATCAGTTTGATCCCTAGTTTCGGTGGTCACATAGCTCATCGCTTGTGGACATCGGGTTTGGATTCTCGGGTGATGTCTGTTTTCCAGTTCTAGCTCGACAAGGTGGAGTGGATCGACAGAGGACGTACGAGTTCGGGACCCAGGTGCACAGGGCTTGGTTACAACATTAGGTTTGGACCACTTGAGTAGATGCATGATGCATAATGTGGATTACCCACTTTTGGAGGCGTTCATTAAGAGGTGGCAGCCGGATACCAACACATTTCACATGCCGTTTGGGAGATGACGATCACTCTGCAGGATGTTGCGTTCCTCCTCAAGATTCGAGTGGATGGTGAGCTACTTGCTGCACCGGCTATGGGTGATCCGTCATTCGTGAGTGGGATTGTTGATCTTCTTGGTATTTATGATAAGAATGAAGTGGCACTGCCATTGCGTGGCCTCCGTTGGTATGAGGGTGGTGGGATGTTGGTAGATGAGGCCATGGCACGTGTAAGTGCTTCGAGGGATGAGAGTGCAGAGGCATGGTGTTACTTACTGTGTTTGATCGGGTCCACGCTTTTTGTGGACAAGAGTTCTGATCGTGTTCGTGGATGGTTATACTCTTACTTCAGAAATTTGGCGATGGTTGGTAAGTATGCATGGGGTGCTGGTGCGCTTGCCTGGATGTATAGGCAGCTTGGGAGATCTAGTCGAGCAGGTTCTGGGGGATTTTCTGGGTGTTTGACTTTGCTACAGGCTTGGATTTACGAGTATTTTCCATCGCTGCGCATCAACAGACGTGCACCAGAGCCCATGACAGAGGGAGGCTCGTTTGCTAGGAGGTGGGAGGGTCCTATTCGTGGAGGGGATTTACAGCGAAGGTCGGATCATTATCGTCGGCTGTTGGATGGATTTACAGCGGCCCACGTGGATTGGCTTCCTTTTGGTGCTAACCCTGGTCGTGCAGAGCCTAGATCTTTGTGGAGGGGATTTACAGCGAAGGTCGGATCATTATCGTCGGCTGTTGGATGGATTTACAGCGAAGGTCGGATCATTATCGTCGGCTGTTGGATGGATTTACAGCGGCCCACATGGATTGGCTTCCTTTTGGTGTTAACCCTGGTCGTGCAGAGCCTAGATCTTTGTATCGGGGTGTGATACGTGTCTACGATGTTGCTGAGACATACGATCCCTCACGTGTCCTCTGTAAGTTTGGCTACAGACAGGTGATTCCTGATCCTGTTATTGTACCATGTGATGTCAGTCGACCTGCTGTTGGGACCTATAAGGTCATCTTTGGAGCAGGGATTGATCAGCTTTGGGGGACTCGCGGCCAGTTGATCAATCTGGATGCCTTCTCCACACCTTTTGATGAAATCAGAGACATTGACCCATTGTACCTTAAGTGGTACACAGAGCGCACCCACCTACACATTGTCCCCTCCAGAGATGGTGAGCAGCAGGGGTCGGCGCCATTGACGTATGAGATTGTAAGTTTGAATTCATTTTCGTTTTGGTTTATTGATAGTGATCTCTTGCTTTTCGTTTTTGTAACACTTAAGTTTATTCCTTAGACATTGTAGCTAGCGTGTCAGATTATTGATGGCATTGATCTCTTGCTTCGTGCTCCTGATGAGGATCTTGACAAGTTGGGCCCCTATGGTGATTTGGTTCGACGGGTTCGTGACAAGTACGTTGACTTTAGGCAACAGAGACCGTATCGCCCATTCGCCTAGTAGTTGTTCAATGTTGAACATTGTTGTTTAGATGTTGAGTTCTAGTTTGTTTGTGTTTTGGATGGTGGATATTTTATGTTTTGATGTTGGATATTTCTTAAGGTTGATGTTGGATATTTATTAAGGTACATTTGGATGTTGGATATTATATGTTTTGATGTTGGATAATTCTTAAGATTGATGTTGGATATTTGTTAAGGTACATTTGGATGTGTTATGTTTGAGTGTTTATATACTAATTATGATTTTTAACCACTACTTATATATCTAACAAAAACACAACAAACAACATTTTTTAATGAACATACACAAAAAATTACCTGCACCATCGGGCGGGTAGGGAATATGGCTCAACCAGCGGTCAGACGGGTAGAAAATATGGCTCGACCTCCGGGAGGGCGGGTAGGATATATACCCTCACCTCCAGGAAGGCGGGTTCATAACATGCTTTGTCCATGGCCTGAGCTGGGAGGGTATATTCCTGCACCATCCGTCAGGTGGGTGCGCAACATGCTTGGTCCGTGGTGCAGGCAGGTTTTCAACCCGCCTAGTCTGTTTTTCAGCAACAATAACTGTGAACACAATTGATTAATTTCACCTAAATCCACATAAATTTGAACACAAAATCATTGATTAATTCCACCTAAAACCACATACATTTTAACACAAAATTTCAATCCTTGATAATTGCACCTAAATCCACACAACTTTGAACATAAACACACACTAAAAACATCAATAACATAATCAATCTAAGGAAACAATGTTTAATCATTCTCTTCATCGTCAGTGGGTGGATAATGTCCTCCAAGGATAGCATACAATTCCTGCTCCTGTTGGTATAACTCATCCCAATGCGGAATTGTGCTCATATTCCGAAAATGAGTCCATTGTGGACTAAAATATGGCATTGGTGTCACCACATCGACATTGTCGAGAACTAGTCGGACCCAATGAGCCCCAGTAAAGACCATTGGCAGAACATAACTGGGATGAGTGAACCCTGGCAGCGCCGTCATAGGTAAGGCGGTGTACCCATACGTGCGCTCTCGCTCCCCCTGCACTCCATATACGACAATTGCCCAGTTGTACATGGTTGCGTATGCCAACAAATCCACCTCCTCAAACCAATACTCTCTGTCGCACCTCCCAGCGGTCTGGCAATTCAACCTGTGAAGTACTTTCTCCAACGTTCCATCTCTAGATTTGTAAGCTTTCTTGTATATATCCCACTGATTTTGTACTTCTAGGATAAGATCTTGTCTCATTTGCATGTAGTGTCCCTCGTCTCCATGAATCGCATGTGACATGGCCCGAAAACCACAATGTCCATCTGGTTTTGGGTCAAACCAACCTCTAACAAGAGGATGCATGCTAGGTGGGACCCAACGGAGGTAAGGACAACTCTCACTATGAACTTGCATATCTTGACTTTTCCGCAAACCTGCAGCATATTGCAGAAAATAACTAATATTACGGTCACAAAACAAGAAATATTACTATGAAAACATATTCCAGTGATGCTAACTTGCGGGGGGCCTCCGTTTTTGAGGTGTTCTACTCCTCCAAGTCCATCCTCAATTCAATCACTCTTCCGTTGACGGATGTGTGAAACCTAAGGAAGAGTGTATCGATCTTGTGGGTCGAAGTGGCAAGCCATTTCTTCAAGGAGGAATGCATCGACTCTACCCTATTTGTGCTCGTGTTACCGATATGGAAGATGCGATTGGTGTAGCAATTTGCCCACCTTTCCCTGCATGGAAACCACTCACCTCTCAAGTAGTCCATTAACTTGTTGTTTGAACCCCAATGACTATTTTGCAACTCTAGCCAACGACGTTGGAACCCTGCCTCAGTATTAGCTCGCAAGACTCTCTCCCATAGACTTCCTACAAATAACTCGGCAGAATCACGACCAATCCCCAACTGCATCATTTTGGCTTCAATGTTCATTTTCATGTGCCACACACATAGTAAATGAGCTGAAGATGGAAAGATATGTTGCAAAGAGACACCCAATCCTCCCGCCTTGTCTGTTACGAACGCAACCGGGGTTCGATCACCAAGCACAATCTTCAATTGCATCAAAACCCAAGCATATGTCTCCTTCGTCTCATCTGAAATCAATGTGAACCCAATGTTGAAGTTCTTCTTCACCGGACTAACACCAATCAACTGAACCAGTGGCTGCTTATACTTGTTAGTCTTGTACGTCGAGTCTATCAAAACAACAAAATACCATGCCAACAACATCCGAATCGACTCAGGATGGCACCAGAAGAGTCTAGTAACACGACGCTGATCATCAAATTCACACTCAATAAAGTAGCCATACTAGCCAAGACGTTGAGCTTCTATCAATGTCCACCGCATAGGTTTCAACCCACCCAATCTCTCACGCCTAATTTTTGCTGTCTCATTATAAATCTGAGTCATGTTGTGATGAGCATCGTACTTCATATTGAGCAAACTTCTTATATCTTTAGCCTGAATATGTGTTGCCTCCAACTCCTTAATATTCATTTTTTCCACATGTGAAAGAGCATTCTTTTGCCTGCTTCCCTCAGAGTAAACCTCCAATCTGTGACTGTGAAATCCCCTCGACTTAATCCCATGAATTCTCCACTTCCACTTGCCATCTATTTTTACGGATTGCACCACCACTCGAAAATGACAACCTAACTTGCCTGTTGTAGATTTGCTCCGTGTTGTCTTTGCGGGATCAGACGTATATGAGTTGCTCCTACTACCATGGTTGCAATCCATATCGATCCTCGGATTGCCTTCTCCAACGTTTCTCTTGACTGATGCCACTATCAAGGAAAAACTATTACTCATGGCAATCTCCTTTGCCGCTTTACAAGCTTGATCATGGGTATCATAAACATCACTTAGAAACAATGATGTGCAATCAACATTGTCACCCTCATTAACTCCGGATCCACCCTACAAGAAATACAAGGTAAAAACATTTAGTTGTGCAACAATTATGTTACGATAAGTAAATTATAAAAAATAATTACTTACCGAATCATCCATAATAGTTTCCTTGTTAGTAAATGATGGTGGCGCAAGATTTTTATCCTCCTTCCTAATAAACACAATAAACAACAAAACTTAATGAACATAAATATTATAATTTATGTGAATTTTCATTAAAAAGCTCCATGACATCACAAAATTAACTCGATCATGTTCAAAACTAGACCGGACCGAGGGATAGGCATGTTAAAAACAAGAAAGAACCGTGGGTCGAGCATGTTGAAAACATGCCTAGACAGGAGGACGAGCATGTTGCGAGCATTCCTGGAGGATGGAACGGGCAGGTGGACAACGCGTCCGTTCCATGGCTGATGCAGGGTTTCAACATGCTTGACCCCCGACCGAGGCGGATTTTCAACATGCTCGACTTGTTTTCCAGGAAAAAAAATTTGCAAACGAAATCTTACCTTTAGTCTGAGTCCTTGCATGCTATGACGATCGAGACCGACTACTTCTCTACCTCCGTCATACTCGCCGGAATCCGGCGAAAATTTATCAATTTAGAAGATTGTAGTTGGATTTTGTGTTGTGTGGTTTGGTTTTAATTTTTGGTTTGATATTTCTGTTTTGTGTTGGAAGAAAGAGTTAAATGGGTTGGATTAGATGGTTGGAGCATTAATTCTAGGTGGTTGAACCATAAAATTAAATGAAGGGTTGTTTTGTAAATTTGTATGGTTTAGGGCGACAAAATTTAAAAATTTAGGGCGATGAATAGTAACACTCCAAAAGTAGAGCCATCAACTTTATGTATCTATTAATTGTCTTAGAAAAGAAAATTGCACATTAACATTTATTCTTCCATCTCAATTACTTTATTCTTATGATATGATACCCATGTTTTGTTTAATATCCTTCTTCAATCCCATTGGGATTTAGATGAAATTTTCGACTAGGTGGTACATTGCATACACACGCATGAAGCCCCATGTCACAGTGGCATTCGGGTCCCCACGAAGCACAATCATCTGGACCTCGGCATCGTTTGCTTACATAGCTAGCTTCTGCTCCAATGTGATTCACGTTCCCAACTGTAATACCCAATTTGTTCAATATTGACAATAATGAATCACATTAGTGACAAAATCATCTATCCATTTTGTTAATGAAAAAATATATATCTACAAAGTTATGTGCAATAATACAACAAAGACAAAAATATACTAATATACTTACAGAAAACAACAAAAATCAAGAGCCCGACGAAGAATAACAACTTGAAGTTAGTCTTCTCCATTGTACTTGGATACGGCTTGCAACTTGATATATATATATGAACTATTTTGCTTCGCTATGATATTTCAATTTTTGGTTTATGTGATTCAGAGGACATCAGTTTCTTGTTTATATAGGACGCTTAAAAGACAGAAAATCTAATATTACCATATTTATCTTCCTGTCTTTTGTAAAGTAATAAATGTCTTGCCATAGTTTTCATTTTCCCCATAAACTAAATGTCCTCCTCTTTGTCATAATTGATTTTCCAGAAAAAAAAAACCAATTTAGAAATAAAATATAACAATGATGATGTTTTTATATAACCTTACTGACCTGAATCGGCGGTCTATGGTAGGTTGTATAACTCTTGGTTATATATTTGTTCATAATCAAATATGGCCTCTTGGTTTTGGTTAGTGTCATACCTAAGGGGATATTAAAAAACAATAAATTTTCAAACTTTTTAATCAGCTTTATTTTCTTTGTTTTAACCCAATGGCCAATACCACTAATTACCATCCAGGTACCACCTTTGTTACGTGTTTAACTCATAAATTTTTATGTTACAAAACGAACGAATTCATCATGATCTATTGTGCGATATAAATTTAAGAAAACAAAATTTCAGGACCAAATATATCATACCGGTATTTGGTGGTACAAAATGGTGAAAGGTGGTAAATGATGGTTAATATATTCCTATTATCATGTATCACCATTCTACACTATAGTACATTCATATCACCATAGTACATTTCCAACCTCAATGATATAATCTTATGCAGGCGACGATTCTGATTTATCAATTTATGATGAATCTGGTAATAGAGTCATCATACATTTGTATGTATATGATATGTTTATCTTTGAGACCAATAAAAGATAAGTGAACTTTACTAAAAAGTTATTGTCTTCTAAATTCTCCATGTGGGACATGGGGGAGGAAAATGTGATTCTGTGTATTGAATCAAGCGGAACGGCAAAGAAGATTTCCTTCTCTCAATTTTTCTGCATCGAGAAGGTGCTTGCTAAATTTCATAGTAGGAATTGTCATGAGTTAAAGACGCCAATGGATCCAAGTTTTGAACTAATGGTTCATACTGGTCAACTAGTTTTACAACTGGAGTATTCAATGTTAAATTGGGTGCTTGATTATGCAATGACTTCCATAAAACCATATATTACGTAAGGGGTAGGAGCATTACGTTGGTGTATGAGTAATCCTAAGTGCTCATCATTTGGAATGAAATGAGGCGTGTACTAGGAAATCTCTAAGGCACAATGCATTATGCATTAACTTATAGTGGGTTTCCAATTTCCATCCATTTTGGAAGGATTTATGAATGTTAGTTGGATTCTCATGTTAAAGGAGATGCTTAAACATCGAGATGAGTCCTCTTGCTTGGGGGAGGTGCCATCTCTTGGGCCTCTAAAAAGCAAACTTGCATCATTGGTTTCACTATGGAGTCAAATTGTCAGATGGTTGAGAGATTTGTTTTATGATGTTCTTTTCTGGCCTAAACAAATCTCACTTTATTACTATCTTTTGTAGTAATTATACTTTGGCTAAAACATATAGGCAAAAGTGAAAATGACAAGTATGATATTGTGGGAGTTAGGCACTGTAAACTCTGTGAATTGATGACTCATGGAGTCATGTCTATGTAAATGTGACCGGACTAGAGATAACTGGTTGATTATTTTACGAAATGGTTAACTAGTGACTTGGTGATCAAGTCTGCGGAAGGGATGGGTTTAAAAGTCCATATAATTTCTGATCATGGGACACCCAATTCTCCTCTAATACAACGTTAGAGGATGAATTCAATGTGGAAAGCTCATTATCAGAAATTGAAGCACACAATTTGTCATCTTGAGGTATGTGCTTGTTATCCTACATGAGAGAAGAGGATGAAGTTCAAAACTTCTTAATTGAATCTTTGAAAAAGTGTATTATGCGGGTACACGAATAAGAGATTCAATCTACGTAAGCATGAAGTGTAGCCGCTTCAAGAAACCCGTACTTTGGTTTCGTGTGCGCTATGAGAAGGATTGGACACATGGAGGGTAATAGTGTCAAGGCACTTAGAAGTTTGTAAAACTTAAGTGCATATTATCTTCGAATATTCATATGAGTAGATGGGTTGAATCGTTACCGACACCCAAATATTCAAATATTCGCCAAGTGTAATATACTAAGGTGAAAATTCAATCGTCACGACATTTTCATTTATGCTTAAGTTTTGTTGGAAGAATGTTGTAATTTTAGTGGATTCGTGGAATACACTAAAATGGGGGAGGAATGTTGGAATTTCGTCTGGTTGCATGTAAATAGTTGAACCACTAATGCACCAGTTGTGTTGCTTGTTTAGTAATTACAGTTTTTTTATTAAAGCAACACGTCCCTCCAATTCCATTTGCAAGAAACAATCCAATGCTTTGAATTGCAAATTGAATTCCCAGACACGTTGCATGGATAATGATAGATTGATAGTTATGGGGCAAAGTGTTGATGTGACTTGAATCGGACTATCAACCGCTATGCCTGGAATAGATTTGTCTGTAACCGTTTCCTTTGCCAGATTGGATTAGGTTTAGACCCACATGGAGAAGTATAATTACTTCTCATCTCCTCTGTAATATGTAATCTCCTCGATATAGTGAAACTGGCTCTCTCTCGCCCGTGGACTAGCTAACACACATCGTGTTAGTGAACCACGTAAATCATGTGTTGTGTTTCGATTCTCTCTTTCATATTCTTGCTTTCTCGATTCCGGTGATTTCCCGATCCGTGGCAGCGCGTTTATAACAAGTGGTATCAGAGCCTGGTTCGACGAATCTGGCGCGGTGGACGTCAGTTCGGTGGACGCTCATTTGGTGACCTCGGGATTTGAGATCTGAGTTTGTCTGGCGGGTCAAAGGTGATTCGCGTCTGTTTGGTGGATCCAGGAGAGATCCACGTGTGGGCTTGGCGGATGAAAGAGAGTTCCACATTTGGGAAGCAGATCAAAGAGAGTTCTGCGTATGGTAAATTCCTTGTACCGAGAAGCTCATCGATACAAGGCGTCTGGCAGATCACGATAATCATTTAGGTGAGGACACGAAGTTCGTGGTCCTTGTCTTGAGGGGAGGATTGTTATGGGACAATCCAAGTACCACAACGGTAATACAAGGGAAGGAAACCTTGTATATTAGTGTCCACCTAACCCAATTAGTACGAGTCCTTTTGGGGAGGACACCCAAAAGTAAATCCGTGCAGGCTTGGTACAAAGCGGACAATATCGTACTAATTGAGCACCCCGGTTTGACACAAAGTTTATCCATAATATTTGTCTAATAATTGCAACGTTTGATATGAAGCAAATCAATGCTTCGGATTCAAGCATTATATCCGTTTGGCCTCTATAGATAGAGGTGGTCGGATGGGAGAAAAACACACCAAGAATTCATTCTTCTTCCTACTAAACTTCTAAGTATGCTTTAGGCTTCTTAAGCCTGGAACCTAAAGTGGTGATAGTTTTATCCTCGGGAGAAATTTTTTGTAACCTAAGGCTTTGTAGAAGGATAAAATATTCTTTTTGGAAAACGAACATAATTCACGACTCTATCACAATCCTGGTTTCCCAACCTCGGACTATCGTACGTGTACCCTCGTCCCAATAATCCCAACAGGGAGTTGTTAACATCTA